TGTTTTGAAATTAAAAATACATGATTAGGATACATATTATATATAATATAATTTAATTACTTTAATATAATTAAAATACACACACAGCTTGTTAACTGTTGCATAGTTATTTCTTTCACAAAGTTCAGACAAATTATCCTTTGCTTATGAAACTTCGTACTTTCACATCAATGTGCATGACAGTTCAGATGTTCTTGTTTGAGCTTAGATACGAAAGCATGCACGTCATTTGCATTGCATGCTTTCATCTTCACACATCCAGTAGAACAGTTCTACATTGCCAACTCTAATACGGCATATCTGCATGTCTGAATTCACAGATGACTAGTTTTCTGAACGGCCGGCTGCCGAGGCTGTGTTTGACAGCAGTGAAATGTATCAGGGCAATCTGAATTTTAAATGTGCACGTCACCAATACGATGAATTGTGAGGGAAACACTGATGTGACAAATTGAATAAAAGTAAGCGAGCTTTTAAGAATTGAGGGAAAGTACGAAAGAAGTGATTTACGGCTCCATTATTACAGCGCAGGGATGGGATTGGACCCGCAGTGACAGCAGTGCATTGTATTTTTTTTTCTTTCCCTACATATGTTCAGCTCGCTGGACCGAGGCTGGATCTTCTCGAGTTACATGCACTGCTAGAAAGACTGCTGTTCCTCCAGCTGTTCTTTCTCAGTACTCGTCTTCAGCTACACATGTTGTTGGATATAAGGGACAATTAGGTACCTCAAACAAGTCTGAGGATTGTCACAAATTCAGGCTGTTTATCAATCTCCATGTGATGTGTTTTTTCAGCATTCTGTGTTGAATCTACACTGTGTGAGGATTGTGGATTTAGATTTACACAAAAACAAATATCTGTTTATGCTTGCTATTTGCACAACCACACAGGGGATTCCCTCAGAAGCACAGTCCAAAGCTTTACTTTGGTCTGTGATCAGATGTACATTTCCATAACCACAAACACATTCCCCAGGGTCCCGCACTTTCTGACCTCTTTTTCAAGACCGTTTTAGTCATTTGAGAATATTGGATACAATTAAAAATCAGACCGATCTGTGAGTCAATATGACAGATTCATTGAAGAAAAGAATGCAACAAATCAGACTGACTTGCTAAAGTTTTACTCTATCCAAGAGAATTATTTAGCCAAATAAATGTAATGTTTTAGGTCAGAACATACACTTTTCTAGGTCGGAAAACACTTTATTGTGGGAACTCTTATTCTTGACCCACCAAGAGAACAAAATTATGTTTGTGTTTGGGTTCAGTATGGGACTCTAAGCGCGGTTAAGGAAGTGTATTGCCGTGATCGATTTTTACCGAGAGGCTGTGAGATACCAAAGGAAAGCCCTCTAAGCATGGAGGAATTGTTACGAAGAGGAAACGTGAGCGAGGGTGACAGGCAGAGGAGGAGTGCGCAATATTAAAGGCCAGGGCTGTGAAGGCAAAGGTAGTCTTTATTAGGTTAGAGGCGCTCTGTAAACTTGTTACAGGCCGGTGTGTTAGATCTCATTCCCCCGCAGGGGCATGCTGGGATGGGGGCCTTGGAAAAGTGTCTCAGGGAATGTATTTTTTCCCCATAACCAGTTTAGTGCCAGCCACCCTCCAAGTGTTCTCCATCACTTAGCTTCACAACAGTTGGGGAACAAACGCATTAGAGAAAAATTGCCTCCGCAGTACATCTGTTCTGGCTGTCTATCGAGGGCCCAGGAAGCTCTGCTACCAGAAATCAAGAATCTGATATCAACTCTAATGCGCCGAATGCTTTCTAGCTCATTCACAAGCGGACACTGTGGAACAGGAGAGGTGTGCCCTTTTGAACTGAGGTGGCACATCCAATTAAATAAATTAACACCCAATTAATTATAAACACCCAATTAAATAAATAAAGATAAAAAATAAATGTTAAAGGATTAGTTCACTTTTGAAAAAACTTTTGCTGATAATTTACTCACCCCCATGTCATCCAAGACGTCCATGTCTTTCTTTCCTCAGTCGAAAAGAAATTAAGGTTTTTGATGAAAACATTCCAGGATTTTTCTCCTTATAATGGACTTCCATGGGAACCAGGTCCAACCGAGGTCCAAACGACAGTTATAACAGTTACAGATGCAGCTTCAAATGTCTTTAAACGACACCAGACGATGAATAAGGGTCTTATCATGCGAAACGATCGGTTATTTCAAAGCTTATTCCAAAAATGTAACTTTTCTAAGGACAAATGCTAGCCTTTCTCCATTATGTGAGGCGCGTTTGCAACGTCACGTAATACGTAATTACGTTCAAAAGGTCACGGGCGACGTAGCCAGAAGTACAGAGTCAGAGAGTTGAACGCATAGGTTGAACGTGAAAACTAACTCAAACGCCGTTTACAAAAAAGGAATTAAAAGGTAAAACAACGATGTCGGACGATTTTGATTCTGTACTTCTGGCTACGTCGCCCGTGACCTTTTGAACGTAATTACGTATTACGTGACGTTGCAAACGCGCCTCACATAATGGAGAAAGGCTAGCATTTGTCCTTAGAAAAGTTACATTTTTGGAATAAGCTTTGAAATAACCGATCGTTTCGCATGATAAGACCCTTATTCATCGTCTGGTGTCGTTTAAAGACATTTGAAGCTGCATCTGAAACTGTTATTAACTGTCGTTTGGACCTCGGTTGGACCTGGCTCCCATTGAAGTCCATTATAAGGAGAAAAATCCTGGAATGTTTTCATCAAAAACCTTAATTTCTTTTCGACTGAGGAAAGAAAGACATGGACATCTTGGATGACATGGGGGTGAGTAATTTATCAGCAAAAGTTTTTTCAAAAGTGAACTAATCCTTTAAGTTAAAGCTGCACGATTACGATAACTTGAACGAATAAACAAATGAAATGTCCAAACTCTTTGAAAAAACTGACTAAAGTGTCTAAACTGAAACAAACTGTTCAAATTTTGTAGATAATAAATTGCTTATCTAAACATTTGGGCCAGATTTAATAAACGGCAAATTAGCGTGAGCGCACTTGCAAAAAAGCGTCAATGGGAGTGGAAAGTTTGGTGCATGATCTATGGAAGAAGTGCAAATTAAAGAACACAGACGCAGCCGGATCATTTCCATAATGACCAACGCAATCTACCGAGAGCAGTGCAAATTGGCATCTGGATTTTAGACATTAAATGATGGCACAAATACCAGTAAATTGACTAGTGCAAACCTCAGTAAATCACCACGCATGATTCATTTAAATAGCCTTCTCCTATTTATTTTGCACCTGAAAGAGATACACCTACAAATGCATATGCAATAAGATCAGCCGCAAAAATAACCCTGCCCATGCCTTTGTTGTTCACTGCAAGTTATTAGTAAATCCTGACACTGGTTTAACACCAAAAGAGGGTTTGTGCTGGAGCAAGCTGCCCCTTTGTAGCATAAATCATGCATACACATGCCTAAATTTGGTCAGTCAGTCTTGAAACAACTAAAAACAAATGAAGAGTCATTTGAAATTTTCTTCTAAAATGATCATTTTTATCAAGCTTGTATATTTAAGTTCAGTAATTTCACTTAGATGGCAATGAAGATTACCTATTAATTGCCATTTAAGTGAAATTACTGAACTTAAATATACAAGCTTGATAAAAATGACCATTCTAGAAGAAAATTTCAAATGGCATTTAGAGGCTTTTGCATCTGAACTCTTCAAATATGTGCATGGTGATCATGTGACCTCCTGGAACAAGACTATGTTGATGTATATGATAGAACGGTGCCGCTTGAATTGCATCTACATTTATTTTCATATAGGAGTGCTGAAAGTGTTAATAACCCTTATAGTGGTTACATAAGGCCATGCATGAATAGCTTCACAAATACCCATGCATTACATATGCCGACTGTATGAAAAAGTATCCTTACTGAGACAGATTGCTAAATGCTCATTTTGCCTTCCCTGTAACATCTCTGTAAGAGCGTTTAATTGAACAGTGCCTCGACAGAACTGCGTAATATGCCAAGTATGCGAAGAGTGCTGTGGGTCTTGCTGAATGTGTCAGGGCCACTCTGTTTGTAATACGCAGATGTCATCCTATTAATTTGTGGGAGAATAATTATAAGACTAGAGTACCCAGATGTCTTTATGAATGCACGTGCACGTATGTTTGTGTTTAATATATTTTATTGTCACTCTGTTAACACAATGGAGACGCATGATGCTAGATTAAATGGTGACAGCCCTGTCAGGCAGGCCTGTTTCTGCATGAGCAATTCCAATGTCAGATGTGTGGTTGAATTGTGTAGATATTAAAGTCATAAAACGTCCTGATAGAGTGTTATTTTCAATGCCGTTTTTAATAGGGGAGGGATTTGAGCTCTTGCAGCACCATACCTGGCTATGCCACTCTCTCTTCTATTCTGTTGGTTCAACTGTCATGAATTTCTCGTGGAATGACTGCCAAGTTGCTCATGGGAGAAACGTGTGAAAAGCCTGCCGCAATTACTGGCGCATTTGCACTTCGTGCTGGGGCAAGTTTTTGGAACACGCACAACCTGGGCGAAGCCAAGTTTCTGTGGCGACCCACCGACGACATGCAATGTTCCCACACACACAAAAACAAAAAAACCAAGTTGTTTTTTTTTAAAGCTTATCCACAGTATCATTTGATACAATGACTTGAAATTAATCTGAATTAGTTGGGCTTTGCTTCCCTCGCTACTGACATAAACTGTATATGTGTTCACTTAACGATCCTCATTGCAGCACAAATCCTTTTTAAAATAGCTCTGAGTCCATTGTTACACTCTGAAAATGGACGACAGCAATTTCACCACAGGCTTAGTGCAGCAAAAGATATCAGAAGTAAATTCCGAGAGGAAAATGGTCAGATTAGAACGTGTCCTAGAGGAAAGGAAATGTCATTGAAATCAATGTTATTGACCCATGACTCAGATGGAGCGGTGAAGTGAGTGAAAGAGCAAGAGCTTGAAGAGACAAAACTAGTCGGTCTTACCACGCACAAAAAGGATGTAGTCATCATAGGCTTCACCCACAGAGTTGGACGCCACACATCGGTAAGTGCCGTTGAAGGACTTGTTTAGGTTCTCGATGAAGAGATCTGAGCCGGTGATAACTGCGTGAGATGGCACGTCGTCCTCGACCCTCACCCAATTCACCTGTTGAGGCCTGGATGGAGAGACCGAGCACAAATGACTTTGGCCTAGTGTTGTGTAGCCAGACCATCAAGCCTGGTTCATATCACAGCCTTTTCTGGTCAAGGGACCGGTCACTCAGGATTACAATGGCCATGGTAAAAAATAAGAGGGAATTTTAAATTAGTTTAAGGTTAAAATAACTAAAATTGCATTGACAGAGAATGTGGGGAACCCTGCTAGAAATTCTCCTGGAAACCACAATTGTAGAAGTCTGGGAATAGTTTCTTTAATTTTCCAGCAGGCTAAATATCTGTGCACTGTGACTGAATCCAGCAAATCCGACTTTTGGTTTTTGTGTGCTCTTTGTCATCATGTTAATATATTAAAATGTGTGTTGTTTAAGGCTGAAACAGCTACGGGGCCCAACCCTCAGAAAAAAATAAATAAATAAAATGATCAGTTGTGGTCAGTAACACAGATTGTGGGATTCGACCAATGTCGCAGCCTACGGCATTGGCAAATGAACAACATTTTGGCAAAGTAACAAAAAGCGAAAGGCTGTGATTTTCTCTTGTCTGCCTCAATTAACTGCCACTGCGAGCTATCTCCTTTTGTTCTCTAAACACCTGAGCCGAGCACACAACAGCCTATTCTACTTTCACAGTGATGAGCAGAATGAGCTAAACCTACTGTGGAGAAATAAAAGAGGCTCTAAACTCTGCTCGGCTCTCAGAAGTTTCAATGGCACTGCTGCAGTGTAGTTATTTCCCAAGAGCATCTGAGGAGGCTTTCCCTTGTTGTTCTGGTTTTTGTGTCTGTGTTTAAACGTACTATTCTCTGTTTGAAAGGGGAGAGAGGAAAAAAAGACAAAAAACAAAAAAATCTTTACACCTTCGAAACAAAGGGTTGGTTCGCGTTCAATAGCAGTTGATCCTCGGCCACTGAGGACGGCAAAATAACATTTGATGGTGAGCAGCGAGTGGGGAATCTCAAAGAGTTTCAATCTGAGGTTAAATATACATGCGTAGCATAAAGATGCAGATGTTTCTGATATGGAAAGGGAGAAATGACCTAGAAAAAGTGCCTTATTGGGAGGAAGGCATGGGGAAAAACACACAGTGGAGGGGCTGCAGAGAACCTGGCGTGAGGCGGAGAATACAAATGGGATGGCAAGCCAAGCCCTGCACTGTCTGACAGTAATGACTGCAGCCCCTCTCCAAGCTTTAATGAAAATGACTTCCAATTTTCTGCTCACTGTATTGATTGTATTTTCATCTTTATTAAATGAATTCGGGTGGTGCCTTGTCTGCCCGCAGCATTTCAGTTTGGGTATGTTGTGGGCCGCGTAGAATGTAAAAACACCTGAATGGCTTTCATTACATGAAATAACATTGATAACTTCATTTAGGTTCATGTGCGGTGCCCCCCCGCCAGACATATTTGGATACTTTTGTACAAATAAAATGTGTGATAATCTCTAAGCTTTTCAAAGAACATTCTTATTTTTTTTTACAACAAATGCCGCTTAGTTTGATATTCTGTTACATGTAATGACATTCATAGTTTTAATTTGGCTCATGTGCGCATATTATTTGCCACTATATACGTATATTTTTGTTTGCAGTAAGGGCATATGCAAAATTGACCCAAATATGACCCAAAAATACAAAATGAATATAAAAAATATGGCAATCAATAAAAATACGTTCAATTTTATCACTTTTATAATTTGCCGTGTTGAGACTACATGACTTATTTATTTTGGTCTTAATCGGTTATAGAGAAATCCAAATAAAAATATATATTTTTAATCAAATATTACCAATCCATGTAGATTACCAACTAAATTAAAATATCATTATAAATTTCATTTTCCATGGCAGATAAAGTGTTGAAATGGCAAAAATGTTGCCAACAGAATATCCAGCAGAGCGATGCATCTTACTCTGGTTTGCCTTTAGCCTGGCACGTCAGCTCCAGATTTTCACCCTCTCTAATCGGGCCCGAAGGAAACTCCACCACGATCTTTACCTCAGGTTTATCTGTGGGGGAGAAAAGTAAAGCACATCATCGTCTCGTGCCCCTGGGTTTCATGAAACTTTACACAGCCTTGGCTTCGTTCAACGCTTATTGGATTGTTCTTAGCCATTTGAGTCGATTCTTTTAGCATTACCATTCCTTGATGCAAAATGTGTGCATGCTTTTTTTTTTCTATTAACCTTTAGAGTCATTTAACAATCAATACACCCTGATGTTTGCCATTTATACAGTCAGAATTCATGACATCACGAACGTCCATATTCAAACTCTCAGCATTGACCTTTCTGCTCTCTAAGTACTGCCCTTTCTCATTTCTATTAAAATAACTGGCCGCTCAATGGTCCTATTCTCCAGTGACTGGCAGCAGGTAAACTGCTGGCTTTTTGCACCTTGCGTCAGCCTTGCCTCTCAGCCGTCGCTGCTACATTTAGCATGAAAAGTGCACTTCTCCTTGGCAAGTCTCAGTTCTTTTCCAATTCAGCCGGGATTAGACTTCCTGCTGTGTTTGTACAGTGCAGCAGGAGGGGTGACATTCAAACTGACGTCGGACACATAACTAACGCTCTCTCACGTAGAAATACCCAGCGCTGCGTGTCTCAAATAACATCAGAGGGGATCAGAAATTAAGGGTTGCACAAACTAGTCGACTTCAATGCACTGCCATGACACTATAAGCTTGAAATCTCTGTAGCACAATTTTACACTCCATTTCCAACAGTTGACAAATAAATGTATACTCGGAGAGCGATTCACAAGATATGTTTGATTATACGGTGCTCAAAATTGATTGGGCGAACGCCCATTTTAAACAGCTTAATGTACACGTACATTGTAATGCACACAGTAGCTCGTACATCACGTGCAGACACATTCAGTAGCACAGAAAATATTGTCATCACTGTTCCAATAAAATAGCATAGAAACTGAAAAGTTTGAGAAAATACGTCTTCGTAAAAAATCCCAGCTTCACTATTAGTAGAAGGATGCTGGCAGGCAGAATTAATTCACACGCTCTCTATAATGCATTTAAATTTATGCAATCTTTACTGTGCTACTTCATCTGTATTTGATTTCGAACGAGCAAAAATCTATTCGAAACATAAAAACCCAAAGACAAAAGATCAGTTATGTATGTAGGAGCAATAGCCTTGTGGGCAGTGCTGTGTCATACGCCATAGCTGCGCACCAGGGGTCTCAGCTCGAGGTTAAGGCTTATTTAATCATTAATGACGTCATCGGCGACTAGTCGACGCCAACTAGACTTTAATCACATAGTTGTTCAACTTCTATCTGACATGCACATCCATGCAGGCCGGTCATTCGCTGCTCATTTGTGTAAGCCCCTTGCATAACAGTATTACACCTGTATGCCAATTTCTGATGTCTAAAAAGATTGTTCGGTCTGTCTGGCGGTCTAATGACATGATGAAACGTAATGGCAAAAAGCTTATATAAGAAAATCATGGAGACATTTAGCACCCTTGGCATTTAATGGAATACACAAGGCTGTTGCTCTGCTTCTTTTGTAGAATGTGTCTAATATCAGGCAAGAACTAAATAGGTTCCTGTTTGCCAGAGAGTGTTTCTGTAAGGACACGACAGGCAAAAACAGGAAACGGCAACCTTTGTATTATACAAAGTGTTAAGTGCAACAAGAAAATAAAGCATAAAAGACACAAAAATAGAGCATAGAAGTACAGAGAGGCAAGAATGTGTTACTGTCCTTTCATTAGGCATAATGGAGGAACAACAGGTAGAAAAATATTACTGACTGTACCAGAACCATTTTGAAGTTGGTTGAACCATAATTACATTTTCAATGTTCTTGGTTTTATTGTCAAAGATTCATCTCATGTTGCATGACACACTTTCTTCTGTGGAACACAAAAAATATTTTTCGTCCATACAATGAAAGTCAGTGGCGTCCAAAACCACAGTATTGACACAAACAATCAAAGAAACAGTGTTCAATATTGATAAATGTGGAATGACATGAGAGCGAGTAAATAATGACAGATTTTGAGTGAACTATCCCTTTAAAGTTCCCAAGATTCACAGGAGGCCGTGGTGTGCTTGCCAAGTTCACCATTCTTATGTAAGTGGGCTCCACAGGAGATGCGTGCTCTGAGGTTCCTGCTGCTTCCTTGAAGGTATTCATCCTCTTAAACTGACAGGTTGTAATGGCTGAGCTATGCCTTTCCAGTACTCCACTCCATTGCAGGGCTGGCCGGGATCCAGCCCTCTAGTTTCTCAAAGGAACCCAAATCTAATATTCTCCCAGTAATGGAGCTTGAAGTGGCATTCCACAGATGCTTATGCGACAGCAGTATGTGTATGTTCAACAGAGGTGCGGGAGATATTAGAGCTGCTCCCACGTGCTTTAACTTTAATGACATCACTGCACTCACTTGGCAACAGTAGACATGCACTAATGTAAAACAGTGGGCTTGTAATGTAAATAGTCCAAAGTCATTAGTATGCGTAAATAAGGATAAGCAGCAGACCTTGCGTTGGATGCAGGTCATGCATAAGGGCCAAGGAATTTACAAAAAAATCGAAACAGAGAAATGCTAAGTGTCCCTGTGGAATCAAAGGGTAAAAGAGTACTTTACTGAAACCATGTCAAAGTTGCCCATAATAACCCCCAGATCCCACTCTTTCAATTTTACCAGCTCTTACTGCACTTTTTGAATGGACTGGATTTTGAGTGAACGGTGACTTCACTTTGACCCAAAGATTTCATACTTTCTTGGATTTTTTTTAAGTGCACGAGAAAACAACAACAACAAAAAAAACAAAACAAAAAAAACGTCAAAGTCTTGACATGATTTATCACATTATTTCAGGACTGATGTTTCAACTGGCTTTTTGGCAATCGCTAAATTTGTTGAGTGCTTCGCCCACTTGATGCTTGTTTGACCTCTTCTATCAACAAAAAGTGATCTGTTGGCCTTCTATCTTTCCAAATTACACCCTGTCAGAGCTAACATTTCTGTGTCCATGATGGACAGCCTGGTCTGAAGTGAGAGAGAAAGAAAAGCGCGCCCCGCTCAGAAGTTCTGTAAGAGGAATATCCACCTGTTTGTCTCAGCTCTGGAGACTCCTTCTATTTCTCCCCTTGTCATCTTCAAACTCTTCGCATGAAAGGCTCTGAGTGAAAGTTTCTTGCTTTGAAGCTACCTCTACATTAGTTCCTTTCCAAAGCTCTCTCTCCTGGCCACGCAAGCTTTAAATCCACAGAAAGCAGCGCCACCGGCCTCCGGTTTCTCACTAGCTGGTGCGCCGGACAGAAAAGGTCACTCTAATTCTAATAACACAATTATTGACACGAGATATTGTTGTCATTCCTTCCCACCGCCATCGCGAAGCTTTTAATTTGCCTCAAGCTGCTGAACTGCACGGACTGTTTGCATTGTGTAGCTATCAATATTTCTGGCTTATTTAATATCCACCACAATGTTTTTCTATTTTCTATTGCAAAAATGTACTCCATTAAGACTGCCTTCACTCAATGATTTTTAACATTGATTGTTTTCCCAGTTTCAGCAGAACAATTTGAAAGAAGAGTGAGCCAGACAATGACTCTTACACCAGCTCTCCCCAGAGCATGACAAAGGCTGCCCGTGAGCACACAATCCAGTTAAATAGCATAGACAAAATGGTTTTACATTTTTTCTGCTGTAAATGCCCAAAGCCAGAGCCCAAATATCATGCAGTTTTTGGAGATCGTCCAGAGTGTTGTCTTTGGCAAAATAAGGTCAGTTAAAGTCAGTCTTTCCAGTGAACACTGTGGCAGGCAAGCATAACCAAGAAACATATACTTGATGAGGACCCAAACAAAATATCTTAAACAATTGTATCTCTATCTTCGGATGAAGACAGTGCCCAAGGCTCTCATCAAATCAGAGACAGAATCTCTGTCACGACTGAATCTCCAAAGCGCAAACACACACTTAATCTTTCATCAGGCCAAGTGACATGGCTGGGCTAATGTCTGCTCTCACAAGGGAAAGGATAGACCTGACTGATTTAACACAAGGACAATGATAAAAAAGTAAAACAAAACAAAAACAACAACAACTAACTACAAAAAGTGAGTGCGAGAGAGTGACATTTACCTATGACTATGACATTAAATGAATAATAATGTTACCACAATATAACATTAATTCAACAATACTAATTCTATATAAAAAAATTTCCAATGGTGTCACACTGTCTTCTGCTCGCTCACATTGTACATAAAAAAAACATGTAATTAAATATATTTTAAAAAAAACCCACCATTATCTACTCAAATATACACATATGAGCCAAAACATTATGAAAACCTGCCCATGCTGTTGGTCATCCACATCCGACCCGCAGAGACATGGACTCTGTGGTATTTAGCTCCAAGACATTAGCAGCAGATCCTTCAAGTCCAAGATCAACTGTTTTTGTCCAACACATCTCATAGATGCTCAATTGAATTGAGATTTGGGGAATTTGGAGGCCAGAGCAACATCTTGAACTTTTCATCACGTTCCTCAATTCATTCCTTAACAATGTGCGGTGTGGCAGGGTGCATTATCCTGCTGAAAGGGGGTGTGCCCAGCCTACAACAATGTTTAGGAAATTTAGCAGAACATTACCCCAGAGCATCACATGGACATCCACGTGATGTAAAAGAAAAACGGACTCATCGAACCAAGTGATTTTCTTCCACTGCTAGAACAAGGTCAAGTTCTGTGTGTTGTGAGACATTCTGCCCATCATTAAAGTTCTGTGTGACTTGTGCCACAGCAGACCTTCAGTTGGTTCAGAGTCAACAGGGAAAGCTTTCGTTGCCCTTGTGCATCCATGAGTCTTGTTGCCGCTTTGTGGTTTGTTGTTCCTCAGATTACTGTTGGTAAATTCTCAGCACTGCTGACTTGGAGCAATCCACAAGCCTTGACGTTTCTGATGTACTCTGACCCAGGCAACTAGCCATAACAATTTGGCCCTTGTCAAAGTCACTCAGATCTTTATTTCTGCCTATTTCTCTTCCATCCAACACACTGATTATAAGAACTGATTGTTTGCTTACTATCTAATATACCCAGACCTTAAAATGTTGCCTTGTTAGGAAATGGTCAATGATATTTGTTTCACCTGTGACTGGTCATAATGTTTTGGCTCATCAGTGTATAACTTTAAATATATTTAAATTACTATTTAATATTCACATAATAAAATGAAATAAACAATATATACAAAGATATCACTTATATCACATAGATATAATCATACACATACGCACACTACTAATATTTAATATTACATTTTTAATTATATTTATTTAAAAAAAAATAAACAGAAAAAAAGACACTTATCTATCAAAAGATGTCACTTCAAATTCTTTTCACATAATATAACATTAATATTTAAATCTATATCTATATTTAAAATGCTGTCCCTGTACTCCTCTCACTCACATTGTAGTTCAAAAAGTAAATAAATAAAAAAAAAAAAAAACATTATCTACCAGTGGAGATCTTTTGAATATATATTACTAATACTTAATATTCATATAATTTAATAAATAATTCAAGAATATAATATTAAAGATTTAATTCAATAATAGTAAGTCTGTATCACATTGTCCTATATAACATTTTGTACTGCCAAAACAACTTTACCTTTTCAAAGATATCACTTTGAATTAACCAAATATAATAACAATATCATTTTAATGAGATAACAGTGATATTATATTACATTTAAAGTGTGGGCTCACTCACATTGAACTTCTAGGTACTTCTGCGCCTGGAAGTCCTTGACCGCTGGATGGTCGACAATGCAAACCACAGGAACCCCGTCATCCTCTCTCGTGACCGTAAACCTCAGCCAGCTCGTCACAGTGAACATCCTGTCGTACGTGTTCTCCACTTTAGACTTGCCTGTGAGAAACAGAAACCAATGAGAGACAAAGAATTCAAAATGAACAGCTTTCATGATCATCTCTATCAAGAAACCATGGGTGGCTAAGTGTATTGAAGGCCTCAGTATACGTTACGCATCCTGTGAGCCATAAAACAAAGCAGATCCCCTAGCGTCTTGCACATATGTGACATATGGCGGCTCACTGTAGCTTATCAATGACATGTGTACAGTAAACGGCCCCCCTGCAGCAGCACCTGAAATGTGACCATATGGGAGGGGCCATGTGGCCAAAAAAAAAAAAACAGCCCTAAACCGCTTCCAGTCGAGGCTTGTTATGCAGCTGTCACTCATTGGCAACTGTGTGGGCTGTGATGGTGTGTTTGTGCTTTATGAAGTGAGATATAATGGCTGTAGAGGACGCATCTGACCCGTAGCCCTCCTTCAGCAGCATCAAGTGGGCATGAAGAACACAAAAGACTCGAAGTCATTGTGCGGCTCCAGACAATAGCCTCGCAGCACCGCATAGACCTCCATCACTCAATTACTGCTCTGGCCTTGTGGAGAGAAACAGGCGTGGGTGGAAAGAGAGAAAGGAAAAGAGAAGAGGTGAGCGAGAGAGCAAGAGAGAGAGAGGGACCTATTGTCCTGTTTGTGTTTTTGTAAAGAAAAAAAATTCCTCTTGACCATTAAAAAATGAATTCGATGTGGGAGTGACAGACTAAAAGAAAAGAAATACAAAAAGTTGAATCTCACAGAAGGTAAGAAAAATTACACTTTATTATAGGTGAAGTGTATTGTCAATGCGCTACTAATCAGAAAAATATATATTTTGAACCTTTTCAAACCGGTTTCCTTAAACACTCCCCCAATGTTGGCGATTTTTCTGTGAGCATATCAGTGAACAACCCCGACGGCTCGGTGAGTTTCACGTCTTTGTCAAATCTTTTTCCGAGTCATTTGGCTAATTCAACGAACGAAACGAATGAATTCACTCGGAAAAAAATCTGTTCATTTTGATGAACAAGTTCGAACAGGAGAGTCACGAACATGCATCGCGGTACAGAACAAGAACTTACAAAACTTAAACTTTGATAGTTTTTTTTTTAAAAGAGCGATCGTTTCGCTTGATAAGACCCTTATTCATCGTCTGGAATCGTTTAAAGCCCTTTGAACAGTTTGCAGTTTGTACTCTCAGTGAGCGTCTTTTGGACCTTGAACCGTTTGGTTCCCACTGAAGTCCATTGTATGGAGAAAAATGCTGGAAAGTTTTCATCAAAAACCTTAATTTCTTTTCGACTGAGGAAAGAAAGACATGGACATCTTGGATGACATGGGGGTGAGTAAATTATCAGCAACAGTTTTTTGAAAGTGAACTACTTTAATGTTGTCCTTGCTGAACGTATCAATTTCTTGCAGAAAAATAAAATATACAAAAATCATTACACTTGCTTACAGCAAATGAGCAATAAATACTCGTTTGGTATGTGATTGTCATTCCGACCATAATATGGTTTCTATCTTTATTTTGTCGTTTATATGTAGATTACATCTATCGTTTGACTGTTATCAATAATCCAGAATGCTAATTTTACCGAAAATCATAAAAATGCCCGGAAATGGAGTCGCTGTGTGGAGATTTGGACATCTCAATACTCCAGATGTTTTTTTTTTTTTTCCCCTGACAATTCCTTGTCTTGAGCATTCATTCTCAGAAATAAATGAATAGTCAGACAATCATATCTCAAATAAGAGAAGACACAGAGCTCATTGAGAGCCCAGAAGCACATCTATATTCTCCCTCACAATGCCACAGTCACTGCTGATAAAGAGATAATCATAGGTCAATCACTGTCATTCAGGCATTTCTTCATTTCAATAACATCTCCCTTTTTGAAATGCAAAGGAGCTCTGATTAGTCCCGATCTGCAGTGATACAGTGGGCTGAATATCAAAAAGAGATCCTGTTCCCTATTGAATTCGCCGTTTCTTCAATTTCTTTTGCTCTATAATTTGCCCTCCCCTTTTCCGACCATTATTCGACACCTTCCAATGGAAAGTCACTCCCTCGAAGAAGGCAGTCTGGAGATCTGGGGCCAACCGTGTATTTAGAAAACTTCCTTAAAGCCATTACAAATTCTGAATCGAGCCATTATGTTTCAGCTGAGCTTACTTGGCTAATTAAAATGAGATTATATATTTAAGCATTGACACAATGAGCAGGCCGTCGTCGTCTGACAGGAAGAAATGAACAACTTATTGTTTCTCGATGTTCATTCAACTTGTCTTATGAGACAGGTGTGTATCGACAATGGAGCAGGATGTAGAACAGAAGTACCAAATGTGGCACAGAACACGAGTAAGACTGGGAAGGTTGTGTTTGCGTGAGCGAGAGGGAGAATGAGGCAGTACATCATGGGGGCGGCTGAGTTTACATTCTGGGGCTGTATGGGTGTAACCTTTAAATGATATTTAAAAAAGCCTGATTATCCTAGAGGTAATTAGGCTGAATGATAAGGACATTTAATTAAAAATAAATCCGAAAAGGCGCAGGGGCCAAAAGCAATTTCCAGCTAGTGAGTGCCAGCGTTGCACTGCTTGAGTCAGGAGAGGAGTCCCTCGGTTTCTTCGATCGCTTTCACCTCCTCCGTTCAAACCGTTTCACTATGCAAGAACAGAATATTCATATCCTGCTGTCCATCTCAGGCGAGATAATTCTTCTTTAGCGCTACATTTGTCCAACTGTCCAATAATATATTGACGTTACATAAAAACAAAACACCCACTGACAAATGAACAGAACAATGCTTTGTATGGCTGCAGAAACTCCCAGTGGAGAGAAACGGAGACCCCTGACTGAGCTTATCGCTAATTACCAAATGAAAACATCCGTCCTGGACTCCAATTTAGCCGCCTCATTTTGGGTAGCTGTTATTAGGACAGCTTATATGCAGTAATTTGTACATAATACGCAAATTGCCTGTGTCTAGACGACTGCGGGTCAAAGGTACGGCCTCTCACTCACCCTAACGGAGCGATATGGAAAATGAGACGAGCTTCTGCGAAGAGCGTTCAGGTAAACAGATGTTGAAAAGGAGTTGCTGAGTTTATAATTAGTACGGTCTATAAATCAATCAACTTTGGACTAAAGTATGTGGAGAAGGGGTATGTCAAAGGATAAATGTACACACTACTGGTCAAAAAGATTGGACACGCTTGAATGAACTTGTATTTCTTATGATCTTAAAAACTATTTGATCAAAAGGCTTTTGCTTTAATACTTGAAATGATAGTTAGGATTCTTTGATGAATAGAAAGTTCAAAACAGCATTTATTTCAAATGGAAATCTTTTGTAATATTATAAATGTCTTTACTGTCACTTTTGAACAATTGAATGTGTCCTTGCTGAATAAAATCAATTTCTTACATTTTTAAAAAACAAATCCAAACAGTGTACATGATTGACGAAGCATTATATAAAATATAACAATTTATGTTGGTAGTATTAATAAATGTTTTTATCTAGTGTTTTCGATTAAACTAGCACTTTCCAACTTTCAAACTCCAGCTATGGTTTGGATGGCAGAGAGAAAACCTGGTAAACACCTGGTTTGTTTGTGTGTACACAATGTGACTTTACCCACCCTGTAGCTCTTTGTCTCCTTTCATCCATCTGATCGTTGCGGCGGGTTTGCTGCCCATGGAGGTGCAGGTTATCTCCGTCTCGTTGCCCTCGCTGACGATGTCCTCACGGGACTCTATGATTGGGTTTCCTGGTGGGACTGAGAGAGGACGGACAGATTTTATAAGGCGGTCTGTAAATCAAGCACCACTATGGGTGCACTGATAGCCAACACGGACACAAACACTGAGGGATGGACACATCCTAGAATATGAAGGGGTGAGTCAGTGTATTCATTCTCGTTCACAAATGACATAAAGGAGGTATTGCGTATTGTGATGAACTGTGACTACAACATGATTAGTAATGGAACATATTGTGCAACAGAAAGCAACACAGCCGCCTGACTAGACTAAAACTACTAGAACATTCTACACTGACCTGAATAATTGTGAATGTTCAGAGGCAATATGTAACAATGATAACACCCTTCTTCAAGGTCTCACAGTGATCTAAACAGACCTGACATGACAACACTGCAACGTGATATAAGTGTCTTTTCCATGTTAATCAGAGTTTTTGTTCTAACCAGCCATGACAGCGAGTGACAGGGGTTTCTATTTTAGTAAAAGGTTTCTATTTTTGCAACATCGTTGTTGAAACAAAAACATACAATTATTACAATGATAAACTCAAGTAATGATTATGTGCTTTGTGTCATCTTAAAGGGACACTTTATCCGATTAGAACCGATTAGAAATCATTTGAATGGTTCAATAACCTGTTCTGGAGAGAATGGTGACTTTCCCCGCTCCTCCCAGCATCCCCATTGACAACATGGGGACTAACGTCCCGGTAAGTTGGAAATTGAATTCTTGTGAGAAGCGAGAACGGGCGAGAAACACAAACTGCTTTATGCCAATTGGACATTTCTATGATACTGTGTATGATGTATTACCCATTCGGAAGACATAGCTCCACATGATAAAGTTGGCCGGCTCCGATAATAACAAATGCATATGAGCAGTGGTAGAAAGCGCGCGGAACGTTCGGCGAGTGAGTTCATGACAGTGTTTTGAAAATATACACAGAGCTCGATGAGAAAACATATGACAACTAAAGTGAAAATCAGCAAAGAAATGACTAGAGTTGCCAAGTGCCCCTTTAAAATGGTCTAATGTGAATTTGAACATCATTTTGCATAACCTTACTGCCAAAGTGAAAATAAAAGAATGCGCAAAATGTGAACAAACAAGTGTATTCTGACAAAGATTGTTTCAGAAACTAATTATATTTTATTATATTAGTTAGATAATGTATTTATTCATTTTGTTGAATAAGAGACTCCGCCCACACTCTGGCTGTGATATTTGACTGATTTGGATGTGTCATGTAGTCACGTCTGGTGTGGATTGAGAGATTTCTTGTCGCTGGAATCTTATCACATTACGTCAGGTTAGGACACTGTATAAAACTTCTCTTAAGGCTTGCGATTCATATAGGCGCTCAGTTGGACATGCAGTGATAAAATCTTTTCCAAAAAGACCTTACTTTCCAGGATAGTCACTACGTCTAAAATGCTTACCTGAAAAGGTCACATCAATCCTAAAACCTTCTAGCTCCCTGGTGTAAATGTGAGCCATTATTTGGACAGGGTAATTCAGTAATAGAAATTTCTCGTTCCCCCTGAGCAGCACGGTTCCATTCAAACATACAGCTTGGACGTCTGAAACTCTGGAACCAGCCACTCGATTGCATTCAGCGAGCTCTCTAGAAGCCCGCTCCGTCAATATCCACCCCTCTCTAAACTCAAAAACGGAATAATCACTTTTAAGTGCGGGTGATTTTTCCATGCAGTTATGTCAAGACGCAGAACGCAGCAAAGCGTTCACATGTACACAAACGCACAAACACATAAACAATAATTGTGCTGAATGGCCCCACCATGCAGCTGAGTCCTCAAAGGAAGTAGCAGGTGAAGTGTTTGTTGAGTTTTTAGAGAGATTTCAGGAGCCCCTCCAAACAGCAGTGAAAGTATGTGTGTGTGTCGAGCACTGGCTGAAATATGAATGACTCGACGTTCAGGATCTGGCTTGGCCGCGTCTCAGGCCTTCTGTTCGGTGAAGATGAATGGCTATATCTTGATTCTACACTGCTGCAGCATCTCATAAAAGCTGCTCCACTCTAGCGATTGATCATAAATGGATTCCTCAGGAAACAAAGAAGCCCTGCATGTGTGTATCTCTGGGTGTTTGTTGATGCGGCAAGCGCCCAATGGGAAATCTGACGGTCTAAACAAAAGATTCAGTTCGTCTAGTCCAGTGGATGTAAACCTTGGAGGTCATGCCTCTATGTGGGGCTGTATACTGTATATAGATGTGTGCATGAGTGTTCATACTTAGCACAGTGATGTCGGCGTAGGCTTCCTGTGGGGGGTCTGTATAGAGCTGGCACACATATCTTCCCTCGTCTGAGAGTGACACGTTGGATAACGACACACGCAGCTCGTTGTCTGAGAAATTGACCAGCTGGAATCGAGCATCTTTCAGGGCTGGAGGGTCGATAAAGAAAGACAACAGATGTTAGAATGAAAAGTCACATCTTCACACTTCACTTCCATTACAAGCAACAATAGAAACATGTAGGAGATAATTAGTAGTATTTTTCCCATTTGAAGTCTAGATTGTTTTTCCACTAAGGGAAATAAAAGCAGCCATATGCTCCTTTTAAGCTATTGCTTATAACTGACACCAGGGGAGTGTAGCAAACATGCAGGCTCTTCAGATTAGTTAAAGGTATAGCGGAGGATCTTTCCGAATTTTAGAGAAGACCCGCCCTCTCCAATTTTTAAAAAAAAATGCACATGCACAAACACAACACTCTTGCTCCCGAGAGGGAACGTCTATACGCCTTGCACAATTATGTTGCAAATTCTAAACTAACTAAAAAACATTCATAAAAAAGACAACATGTCAAATGCCCTTCCGTGTTTTATTTCCTTATTATACTGATCGATTGAGTGACCGAGGACTCAAGACATGATATGTGCAACCCTGTATCACACGAAATACGTTCTGAGGAAACTATTTTGCAAATCGCAATTACGTTACATAGCAACATATAAGCAGTGCTATTACGTTGATCCTTAACCTAATATCTCTCATTGTTAATACGTTATTTTTATACATAGTTGCATATGGAGAAGTAGCTTGTTGCATTTGTGTAATAATAAACACACAAGATTTTAGAATATTTTAGCGTGATACCATTTACCATTTTGGACAAAAGGCTACTTTAGACAAATTGAGATGTTTACCGTGTCTATGCGGTGCATGACTCGTGCCAGGGCTAGCATTGTAGCTTGCATTAACTTTTACTAGTGATTTTAAATGGATTTCTCCAAATAGCGTGACAAACTTTACCTGTCTAGTAGAATCTTCGCGACTGCGGCATCCGTGAGAAGCCCAACCTGTGCTTTTAGCGCACGCTAGCGTGTGATATTCACCCAAAATCTCTCTGGTCTTGATTCTATATTCTGCGGCCTTTCTCTTCTTATCATACACTTAGTAAACATTTTTTCTCTTTCGACCCTCAGCCATTTTCAAAGGAATGGCTGAAACCGTAACTCCGACATAATACACCTGAAAGTGAAAACTACATAGGGATGAGCACGTAGCCTACGACGGCCTTACGTAAACATATCACCAGAATGATTGACACTTAGGTGGACCAATAGTATAGACTACCCACCCGGAAAAAGAAAATCCTCCGCTATACCTTTAATAGGTGCTCTATGGGAATAACCAAAGTGATTGAGATTGCTTCACATTGAGAAACACGGGCGCATCTATTTCTAGCATCATTGTATCACTGGGATTTGAAACAGGGACAGTATCCATGGGACATGCCATGCTAGACCACTGTGATATCTAAGTGCCTTTTCATTTTCACACCTAAGAGAAAAAAGTTCTTGCTTTGTGGTGAGCATGGACATTACATGAGTTTTTCATGGGCACATTTGTCTCTGTGGACTTTTAGCAAGTAAGTTCAAATAAAATCTGTTCATTTTCTCAACCAGCAATATTCAACAGTGAATACATGCAAATGTTGGATTAAAATTGACGTAATTTGACAGTAATTTCGATATTTTCACACTTTTAGCACAATGGAATATTCTGTTTACACTTGATATTTATCTTGATCTCTTCGTTTTTCACACATTTCATATTTCAACTGAAGCACTGTAAACCTTACCTTAGTAACCAAGTATTGGTTGCATATGTTTAATAAAACTCAAACAAAGAATTTAAGCAGTTCAGCTTCCTTTTATAAGTTATACTAGATTAAACTTAATTTTTAAGTCAGTTTTAAAATAATTCACATTTAAATGGCTTGTACATGAAATGTGATTATACTTCATTTAAATCAGCAACAGGAAGTTTCTAAGATGAAATCAGTGGAATTTTTCAGTGCAATTTTAATAAGATTGTTCTTGTTGGCTTTTATTTATTTATTTACTTTGAACTTGAAACTGTGCTGTGTCATATTTTTACTTGGTAATTTGGTGCGCAGTTTCAATACACTTTGCCCACCCTGTTTTATGAAAGCCCACCCCCTTTGAACATTTCTGGTCCATTATTCTGCTTCCAACACAATAAATGACTTTTCAATTGCTGCCTAATATATCCATCCCCTTATATATCTTATTTATATGTTTATCATGACAACTCTTTTTAGCATGGTAATAGATATGACAATGTTAACTGCTATACTTCTGCTGAATTGCTGCTGCAGCAACGCAAATACAGGAACTTGATGTGAGTATGTAAGACATACTGCTACTGCACAAATAGCAGATATACAGGTGAACCCAGGGAATTAGAAGGGTTTTATACTATAGTTTTAGGCTATAGTGAATGGCAGCCATTTAAATGTTGAGCAGCAAGTTCATTGGCAAAAAACACACACAAAAAAACACCTGTATGCTTGTATTGATTATGGCAGGCACTTCCTTAGATTGCAGCAGATTAAGTTTCACCACGACCGAGAATCTCACGCTGATCCTGATTCATGGTTCTTTCTCCCAATTATGGAACGGAATTTTTTCGTCCCAGAATAATGAGGAGTCCATTAGGGCTCGTTTTGCCTGTGTGGGAGGCTGAGCGTGAAAAGTAAATGGGGCTGAGAGAGAGACAGAGAGACAGAGAGAGAGAGAGAGAGAAATGAAAGGCTACTGGCAACCCCCATCTGCCGATAAATTCCAGGCCGATCGACAGACCATTTACAACACAGAGAGCACTCGCGCATGCGTTTGTTCTCTTCCGCAACAGCCGAGTTCAAAGGAGCACAAAAAGAGGACCATGAATAAATAAAGAAATAAATAAATAAAAGGCGAAAAAAATAAAGAAATAATCGGGCATGATTAGAGATTTTTGAGGCGATGGGATCATGAAAGCAGGCCCTGATGGCGCAGGGTGTTGATTGTTCTTGGATCCAGCTGGTTAAGCCATGCTCTTTTGCTTTCATTCAAAAGAAAAAAATAGAGAAAGAGAATGAGAGAGAGAGAGAGAGAGAGAGAGAGAGAGAGAGAGAGAGAGAGAGAGAGAGAGAGAGAGAGAAAGAGGGAGGATAAAACATATTGCTCAACAAGAGCTGAAGTCTCTGTGTACAACAAAAAAAAAAAGATCTTTACCATTCTCTATTACGAGCGGGTTTCTTATGCTTGCAAGCCCCCTGTCCGAACGTGCCATTGTCATCCACAGCGTGGGAGATGCCGAGCTCAGTCTCTCAGGTCTATTTCTCTCACAGATCACTGCGCACGCACGTGGAGGCCACGCTGGAAGACCCTGCTGCCAAGGCAACACATTTCTCACCTTTGATCATGATGTCAGGGCGGCGTAGCCTCAGAGCGAAAATACAAATAAATAAAACATTACGCGCATGTTGTTTTTACATCTATATTCCACTGAACGAACGCGTGAGCACAGTTTATTCAGGTACATGTCTGAGCTTGGGAGTAATAAAGCCACACACGTCCAAACTGAAATGCGCAGACCATCAGCTGCGCTATGATCTCTAGCAGCCATTGTGGTGGTCTTTGTTTTGAAACAGCAAGCACCACGCCTTTCGTTTAGCAGCGTGCGACTAATTAGAGCAGCCAGAAAGTGGGAATGTGGCTGTCAAGGGGAGGGAAGGCAGAAGCAAATGATTTAATTCAATTTATTGATTGGGGAAATGTGAGGATTAAAATAAACCGATAAGGTGCAAGAAGCCAAAACGGTTAATAATCTATTGTGACTGTGCGTCAGGTGGCGAGACAGCAATAATTAGAGCATTATGAAAACATGAATAAGTGTGGTGTCAGCTCTAATTGGGAAATGAGAGGGCAAGAAACTAGGGAGCCCATTTCAGTGAGGCGAATTAAAACCGGGCAAGCTGAGAAAGTAAAGAAACACCCCTTCATTCCGGACAAGAATTGAGAAAATATATACAGGCAAGGCAACAGACTGATCATAACCTATTTCACCGTTATGTGGGTCAATGAAAAGTAAGAGTGCCCATGAAAAAAACAAAACAAAACAAAAAAAACACTTTAAATACGGTCTACAACGTATGCAATCATATAGAGAGTGTTTACAATAGTATTATAGTATATACGTATATGAAGAGTTCAGATGCAAAAGCCTCTAAGTGCCATTTGAAATTTTCTTCTAAAACGATCATTTTTATCAAGCTTGTATATTTAAGTTCAGTAATTTCACTTAAAGGGCACTGAAGATTACCTATTAATTGTCATTTAAGTGAAATTACTGAACTTAAATATACAAGCTTGATAAAAATGGTCATTTTAGAAGAAAATTTCAAATGGCATTTAGAGGCTTTTGCATCTGAACTCTTCATATATATATATATATATATATATACAGTATATACAGTATATATATATATATATATATATATATATATATACAGTATATATATATATATATATATATAAATCATCATTAAATAATAAATGTAATATATTATATAATATATTATATCATAAATATTAAATACAATAAATAAATAAATAAATAAAATAAATAAATAAATAAACAAATATATAAATAAATAAATAGGATAACAGATATAGAATAAAAAGATAAAGTGTTAATATTAATGGATCAAGTGTTGCCGGAAAAAAAAAAAAAAGCATCCCCAGCCATTTCCAAGTTGCATATGTTTCGATAATACGCACCAATTATTCATTCCCAATCAGACCAGGAAAAAGGTAAATGGGGTAAATTTTGACTTCATGTTAACTCTAAATAAGAAAAGTATGCCAAGTGCACAAACAGGCAGTGGTAAAAATATGCCTTCAGGACATTCAGACAAAATTTACATACTCTCATTTGTTTTTGAAAAATAGAAATATGAACAAAGTCGAAACCTTGAGCAAAAAAACAAAAAACAAAAAAACAGCGCCTTATGACCCAAATAATAACAGCATGTCTGACTGCATACATGCCCTCTGCTACTTGCTGTAGCTTTTTCGGACACAGCGCCGGGACATGATGACAGCAAGAGCTTGCAGGACCCCAGGAGGTTGTCCCACCGCCATGAGAGGGAACGTTTCTGTCGGCCAGCTACATCCAGCGCGCTGTGGGAGCGGTGGAGAATGAAGCTCAGCGTGGTTTCCAGTCCCTTCTGAGGGCATGCTGCCCAGTATACCAGCTTCTCTGCCTGACAAAACCCTTTAAAGCTTATCACCCTGAAAAAAGCATGGACAAATGCTTTTGCACTCCGAGTTCCTTTTTTGCTTTTTGAAACGGTCTTTCATTTGCTGGGGATTTTTACAAGGCTTTAACCTGTATTATGTTCTCAGACTTTCATTTGGGCTGAGGGCATTGGAGAACGGGGATGCTGGTCTCTGTTCGTTGTTTTAATTCTCATCACAATAAGTGTCGTAACATATGCGGACAGAATCTGAAAGGTTCAGGAAGTAAAAAAAAAAAAAAAAGAGAAAAGATTACATGCAGCAAGGACAAAAAAGACAATGTGAAATAACACTGTCACACCTTTGTGTCCTCTCAGCATGGCATATTTCAGAGTCAATAGAAGACTTGAAATATCATGGTAGCCCACATGCACTGCTACCTAATAAACCTGAAATTTGTCCGACCATATCTCAAAAGATGACATAAAGAGAAACACTCGTCATTAGAAAACATTTAAGGCCCTTTATACGGGTCTTGTGGCAATGTTCTTCAAAGCATCAAACTCAAAGTATAGTCAGATATAGTTGTAATGCCACCTTTAAAGATCAAACTACTGGAATTTTGACCCTATTTGCCACTGACCTCCCAGAGCATGGCCAATGAACGCCGGACAATTTGTATGACGCATAGAATGTCCGTCTGCGCAATAACAGGTCCAACAATTTCACCTCACTAGTGATGTTTTAGAGTACAAAGCAACAGGAAATTACTCATCACACCGACTTGCACACAGTAACCTGTAAATTGCTCTTCTTTGACATTATCTGAAACATCTTTCACACGGAGGTCAAAGCAGTGCCCTGACGTGAGTCACGTCTTCCCTGGACTTCGTTGTATAAATATAATAAATGAATAAATGTTGCTTTCTGCTCCCACTAGGAGTGGGGTGTAAGAGGTGTGTGAAGAGGAGGAGGTGCTTTAGAAACTCCACAGTGGTTAATGCCACCTGCTGAACTAGTGCTGAAGACTGCCAAAAATTCATACAGTTTCCTTTTTTATCTTCACATTTTCTTCACCCACTAAGGAGCCAAAAGCTCCAAAGAGCCTTCCCATTCCAACTTGCTTAGGAATAAAAATTATCCAAATTTAGACAAAATTTGAATGTCCACTTTCTAAAAGCCATTTTTGGAGTTCTAAGATTTCTGGTTAAAATATAATTATTTTTTGAGGGCTGTATATACACTCTACCTCAGTTTTTGCTAAATACTGTATATATATGATGTGTTTTTTATAAATAATAATTGTTTCAGGTGAGAGCCTTGAGCAAACCTATTGCTTATTTGCTTCCAAAAACTAGCAAAGTACTATCAGATTATATTCCGTTTGTATTTTTAAATATAAATCTTTAACCTATAGAAAATACAAAAAAATTAAAAGGGTGCTTTACATTATAATTTATTATAATTACATATTAATTAAAGGACAAAATAATAATAAAAAAATGCCTGGTTCACTGCTGTTAGGTAGTGGACCACTTGAAGCAACCACAGACGAGATGTTGAAAAAAACAACAACCATTCTTTGTGTATCATTGTATTCTATTTTCTATACGCTTATGTCTCCCTCACTTTCACCCGCTCGCTCGCAGTCTCATTTCCTTTACTTTGCTCTTGTGCTCCTCTTCCGAATCTCATTTGTATTGTTTTCTCAGGTTTAATTCTAGAAGCTCCAGGACACATGCTGCTTCTCCTAAATGGCAGCAATCAATTTTGATTACCGGCCACGGTTACTTTGAGAAGAGCCCATCAAAGTTTTATTAAGAAGACGGGTGATAATTACAGCCTTGCACGGACCAAAAACCTGGAGTCTGAGCCTTGCTAATGATTGGAAGCTGAGAGATAAAATGACGGTTCAGAAGACCGTAATCCAAACTCTGAGGACCGGGCACACAATTACTTTAACCGCTACTTGATGAGGACAGTCCCTCAGGTGACTGATGGCTCTCCCGTTCACTTCTCTTGACTGGGACACTCTTTAACCACAGTGGCGTTTATGGAAAGAAAAAAGAAAAAAAGATGAAAATGAATCGGTCTGGCACCTCGGCGAAGCTTATCATTATTTCAGAGAAAAGCCATGAAATAAAATGGACAGACCTTTCCGGAGACCATTTGTGGAGACAGGCGCCACGTATATTGACACCACCTGATATGTGCCGGATTGAACTCAGACTGAACTCGAAAGCACTTTGGAACTACTTAAAAATGCTTCCTGCTGCAACTTTTCGCGTAAAGAAAATATCATAATCAAAGTGCTTTTCTGCATACGACATGGGACCGTGGGTGCAATATTTCATAGAGGGGTAGAAGAGATGAAACCCTTTAGAAAGACTCTGCTATAATTACACCGTGCAGCTGTAGGGAAATATCAGAGCAGTCTTGTGTAAGATGGATCACATGATAGTAAGGCAAATCGCTGAAGAAAAAAAGAAAAAGAAAAAAAAAAACATGCCCTCACCAGCCAGCTGGGTCTCTCTATCGACTGCCCTCAAAAGCGCAATGGATTACTCTAATGCATTAACACTTCGGCTGGGTGAGAAATGCATACAGCATGCTTATGTGTACTTACGTCTGACATCTTTGAAGTATATGGTCTGTCTGTTGGGGTTGAGGAGCTGAATGACCGAGTCGTCATTGTTTTTGACTCGACAGCTTATGGTGGCTGTCTCCCCCTCCACTACCGAGATGTTGTCCGCCATGAGATTCTGGCTTTGGACTGCAGAGAGACAAAGAGAAAGAGAATTGAGTTGGAGACTGAAACAGAGGCAGGTATGAGGTGATGGAAGACAATAGGCATGTTCAGTTGGTCAGTTTTCTGGTGAGTGTAAAACATGTTAAGTTGTTTAAAAACAATGTCAGTAGTCATCCATGCATACATCTAATAATGTCCGCTATCCCTCCATCCATCCAACAACTTCTGCCATCTATCCATCCATCTATCTAATAGTGTCTGCCATCCATCCATCCATCCTATAACTTCTGTTATCCATCCAATAACTTCTGCTATCCATCCATCCATCCATCCATCCATCCATCCATCTATCTATCTATCTATCTATCTATCTATCTATCTATCTATCTATCTATCTATCTATCTAATAGTGTCTGCCATCCATTCACCCATCTTATAATTCCATCTATCCATTGACCTATGTTATAACTTCATCCATCCATCCATCCATCCTATAACTTCTGTCATCCATCCATCCATTAACTTCTGCCAATCATCCATCCATCTATCTAATAGTGTCTGCCATCCAGCCATCCATTGATCTTATAACTTCATCCATCCATTCACCCATCTTATAACTCCATCCATCCATTGACCTATGTTATAACTTCATCCATCCATCCATCCTATAACTTCTGTCATCCATCCATCCATTAACTTCTGCCAATCATCCATCCATCTATCTAATAGTGTCTGCCATCCAGCCATCGTATAACTTCTTACATCCATTCACCCATCTTATAACTCCATCTATCCATTCACCTATTTTATAACTTCATCCATCCATCCATCCATCCATCCATCCATCCATCCATTAACTACTGCTATCTATCTATCTATCTATCTATCTATCTATCTATCTATCTATCTATCTATCTATCTATCTATCTATCTATCTATCTATCTATCTATCTATCTATCTATCCCTCCGTACATCCTATAACTTCTGCCATCCATTCATCTGGGAGCAACCAACTACAAAAAAAAAAAAAAAAAAAAAAAAAAAAAAAAAAAGAAAGAAGAAAAAAACATTGAAAAATGGCACTACTGTCCATTTCCTTAAAACAGAGATGCAGCCCTGCATCATCTAAACCCACAATCTCACACTTACATGAGTGCACAATGAAGAACAGGTGGAAAAACACAGCTAGAGTGGGTGTGAATATCCAGCAGAGTGTGAAAGTGTCCCCCCCCCCCCTCCCCTCTCTCTTTCCTGCGTAGTGTGTGCATCATGAGATTGCCTGTTTTCATGTTACACATGCTTGGTCCAAATCCCCTCTCTGGATGAGATCACCATGTGATAAGAGCTGCCACTGCCACAGAAATGGAAGCTACAGACCTTGGCCGGTTGACCCAAAGCTAAAATATATGCCATTAAAAGAGGACAGTTCAACCAAAAATGTAAATTCTCCAATCATTTACAGTAGTCACCTTCATGTTGTTGTTTAAACTTGTATGACTGACTTTCTTTTATTAAGATTCATGAACAAATTACATTTTTTTAAAATACATCTGTAGATAAAAATGAACAAGTCACTTATATTTTACACCTTGAATCCCTTTTTTTTTCCCTGAATGTGCCAAGTGAGCTACAGTAGAAGAAATTCACTGAATAAACTAATTTCGGTCTAATCCTGACACAAAGCTATTTGGATGGCAAACAGAATTCAAATTTAGTCTAATAAATCAGGATACTTGTATACTAATTGTATGGTGTTTTTTTTTTTAATCTAAATTACTTCCATTACATTGAAAAGAGACAAACAAATTTACTCCGTTTACTGACATTGAACTGCTGAACTGTCCCTTTAAGAGCAAGATAATTCACTGCAACTTGATGGGATAAAAATAAAATAACACCCCACAGCTGCCTACCCTGCAGAGCTAAGAGGAAATCATGAATAAGCTAAAGCTGGAGATAAATAAATATATTAATGTGAAATGTGACATGACTTTAAGACACCATCAAGTGCTAATTTGCATGCCTCAGTTGTCAGGCACCTCTAAACAGCCTTGTCACTTAAAGCAGAAGGGAAGAAAGCAATCAGATCGTGTGATGGCGACAGATAAGGGGAGACAGTTTAACAAAACTGAATTCAATCAGCCTGCCAGTAGCACAAAGTCAAAACAGACCAAAACAAATAAACCTTGCGCAGGAGCGACTTCCTTATGACTCGTCAAAGGGGATGAGGTGTGGATTGAGAGGACTAGATTGGAAATGCAAATAGAAAGACTGTTTATCCCAGAGAGGGGTTACGGATGAAGGTTAAGCGCGCTACTGTGGTTGTCACGGAGACTGCGCTAAATGCTGGCCAGTCCGTGGCCGTTCAGCTAGTGGGTGGTAATCATGCTAAGTGACAGAAGATGTATTGAAAGGTTAAAACATACATGAACACGAACAACAGTCCTGTTTGGCAAGCTCAATAGGAAAACAAACACGCTTTTAGCATGTTAAAGCTAGCTGAGGAGAGGAAGGTGACTAGCAAGGAACATAATACTAATCTTATCATTAGTATGTTCTTCTATGTCCTCCATGACTATATTCCTTGTGTTTTCCCTTTAGTTCATATGCAAGCCTCTTATCCCCCCACGAAAAATCCCATTACTCCAATCTTGGCTGAGCACTGGAATATTTTGAACTTAAATATTGCTCAAAAATTCATTAAAATGTAGAGCCTTCTTGATAAACCAACTTCGATGTAATTAGCCTGTTCTGTGTTTACTTTGTACAACTCTGGGGTGATGAGCTGGATGCCATTTTGTTGTGTGGGATGAGAAGGCTGATTTGAATCATCGGTAGACCTCCCGAGACTCCGCATATCTCCTTAACATCTCCTTTACTTCAAAAAAGTTTTGCACAAACTTTGGCAAAAAAATCTTGGTGAGATGTCATTGAACTATTAATGGGCTGGAAAGCAGATGTTTACCCTACAGCATCAAGAAAACATACGGTCTATATATTTAAAAAAAAAGAACCAGAGGAAAAAACATGAACCACTAGAGTATGCCAATGAGTCAAACTCAATGAGAAAAAAGGGTAAACGTGTTCATTGGATTCTGGCATGCTCACTGCTTTTACATCTTCAAAATATTCAAAGGAGTAACATTTGTGTCCACAGCATTTTCTTTGACTTATTAGAATTTGTGTTAGCAAGTGTTTTGCAAGCTTAAACACTGTACTGAAAATATTTTTTATGAAAATGTTTTTTATAAATATTTAAAAACTTTAAATTGTATTATTAAAAATGTGCCAAGATTAAAAAAAATAATTTTCATAAAAATAATAATTTTAATGTCACCATGAAATCAAAATTCTAAGTTTGAATATGTTGGCCTTTCTGTTATCTAGAGTGCTCCAAAACAATGACACAATTGGCATTTAGAAACAGTCCGGTCCCGACAAAATACCGGTCCCGTGCGAGTCAGTGCATACTAAAACACATATAGGAACCATTTGCTATATTTTAAAGCGACATGGCTGAGATTAGGAGAAGAAACAGTAAGAGATCAGGAGGAAATGGTTTACCGAGCTCAACGGCCCTGGCCGAGCTATGATATAAACTAAACGCTATTTTCTATATAAAAAAGGGGAGGAGCTGTTCGATAAACCAATTTTTTTTCATCTAACTGACGCTTTTGACCACACATAGCACCCATTAGTTTCAATATGAGACGCGCCTCCTAGTGGTCTAACCCTAACCCTAAACCTACCCGCGTCATCCAACTGACGCTAAAGGTTGCCATGTGTGTCGGATTTAGACGCATGGTCAAAAGTGTAGGATAGATGATGACGACCCAGGATGACAATGCGTTGAAATAGTCTATGTAAAAATGAAAAGACATTTCTTGCATTGAGTGCATTTGTAACAATAACAAACTACTGTATTCAGGATATTGGCACAGGAAAAAGGATATGTTAATATTCATGTTCCTATTTAACTCATATAATGAAAAACTATCCCAGATGTATTAGCTGTTAAGTAAATCTTGTGCAGGGATCATACCATATTAATAGAGGAATTAAACTTGTTTAAGCCCAAATTATTATTGATTATTGGCGTGCAGCTTAGTTTAATTAAAATAATTGTTTGTGTCACTGGAGCTGGAACAAGTGAGCGAATGATGAATTCCTATTTAAATGAAGATTTCATTAACCCTAATGTTTAGGAAAAGACCACCGAAAAAGGGCCCCTGAAAAAAAAAAAAAAAAAAAAAATTAGCTTTCCGTGCATGCATCAACAACAAACAAGGCATCGCAAAAATGCCAGAGAAATTTGTGTACTGTGCATTTGCATAACTTGTTCAAACAGATCTGTGACATTATCTCTGTATTTAATTACCGACATTCAAAATAAGTAGCACAGAACATTGATCATTTTGGTCTAGATTAAAGCTGTCAGAGGACGATACTCCACTCTCAGTGAGGCAGACAAGCCATTTATATCACTACAGGCCCAGCACCACCCCAGTGCCCCTCATACATCAACCCAGAGGAACACCCAGAGCGCGTGCACGGGCGTGAGTGTGTGTGTGTGTGTGTGACACGGAACTGGCTAATGCAGGAGTGCACTGCCGCGCCGTAAAGGTCAAAGCACTCTACTGTCCGCCTCAATAGCTCATCCTGCCTGCTGCACTTTTTGAAACAGCATGTGTGAGTGAGGAAAACCACAGCTTTAAATTAGATCTGAATGGTGGTGATTGTAAAAGAGTGAGATCCACATATACCTGTGAGCCGGAATCAGTGAGAGTGAATGTGATACCCATCACTATTCTGAGCTGCAAAGGTCAACGCTCGTGCTTGAATATTACAGCCTGGCTAATAGAGAAGAACTCCATGGTTACGGTCCTGTGTGTTCAGAGGGTGTTGAACTTTCGAAGCAGGATTTTCATTTGTGTGAACTTCCTTTTGAATGAATAACAAATGAGATAGCTTTCATATCTTCTGAGATAGAATGGAGATCAAATGGAGACTTTTCTTTTTTTTT